TGCTTCTCCCTCTCCCACTCCCCCTGCTTGTGCTCTCTCTCTCACTATGTCTCTCTCTGTCAAATAAATAAATAAAATCTTAAAAAAAAAAAAAAGGTTTCAAAGGATATAAAGATACAGATCTTAAGGATCAGCACAGCATTAGATCTCAAATACACAAACACAAACATGAAGTAAACTTTGAAAATGCTCCATTTATTTAAAGCAAAATGTTTTAAGTTCATAATGTACATTCTATTACTTAAAGTCAAGTTTAGATGAATAAAAGTTTTGCTTTGTTTTAATAGTGGTTTAACTACAAATATAAAGCAATCTTAAACTTAATGGAGAAAAACAAAGTAATTCTCAAATCATAATATGCTGCCTATTTTTAAAGAACACAACTGGTTATTTAAAAAAAACTTTTAAACTTCTATAAAATAATGTAATACCAGTTTCAGATTCTGAAAGGGTACTTGAAATACTATTTCAGAATTCTGAAAGGCTCTATGGTTCAATTAAAGGTGGCCAATTCAGCATATAAATGTATTTCCTCTCACTCATGAATCTCCATTAAAATGCTAGTAAGGGAATCAAAAGGTATGAACCACAAGAAAAAAGAGAACAGAAAAAGGGAGAGTAGTAGACAAGAGATTTCAACAAACGTTTTCAATATGGGAAGCAGATGACTGAGTGAGGATCACTGATTTGGTAATGCAGAGAAAGCCACAAAATAAAGCGCTAGGTGAGAACTATTTTGTGGCTACCCCGGCACATCAACCCAGGAGCTGGGAGGGGAGGGGCGGGGCAGAAAACAAGGGACTCTTTGGAAGTCTTTAATCAAAAGACTCGACACCGTCTTATCCCACATACAAAATATCAACATCCGGGAGCCTGTCTGAGCAGTCCTCACATACACAAACATCCAGGCAAGAGACTGGAGGTTTTATTCCCTAGAGAAACTGAAGGGACTCGGGATCTGGTGGCATCAGTGCAGTGGATAATGAGAAGAAGGCACATACTATTGCACGGTGTGTAAAACAGGGAAGTGAGCTTGGAAGGGGGAAGCCAAGGGATTCAGGGAACAGTGGGTTCCATTTGGGTGAGCAGCAGAGATATCAGAGAGGTCAGTCTGATACGTGGCAGAACTCCACTGTGGAGAAGGATTCTAGAAGCACGATCAGCAACCTTGCCAAAATTCAGAACGCAGATTACAAAATTAAAGAGTAGAGAAACTCAGCCATGCATTTCCAGATACACATCAAAAGCACGGATCTGCTCAGGACAAGGCGGCACTGCTAAACTGAATTGACATGACTACTGCTCTAACCGGATCTGTATCACTACTGCCCTGTATAATAACTGGATCGACATTACTACTGTTCTGTACTATAACCAGATCCATATTACTACTGCTCTGTATTACAAGCCTTTTGGTTCTACTTGCTTTTTGTTAACCAGGTGAATGTATTTATTTTGCAAAGGGTTAAAAATGATTAAGTCTACCTGAAATTATATTGAGTGAAAAAATAGGATAACTTCATAAAAAATACTGCCAATCATTTTAAACATACAAGAAAAAAAGATGAAGGAAGTATGTTAAATGTTGAGAGTGGTTCTTTTTATAGTTTCAAGTATTTTCTACAATGATCAGCCATTTAAAATCAGTTAAAAAATCATTTAAAGACCATAACAGAAAAAATATGAAGTATGCAAACAATACAACTTATATGTGTGTCACTGCAGAAAAATCAACAGAATGTTCTGAAAGAAATACAATAATCAAATGCTAATAAAATAATAATGAACACAATAAATATATGTTATTACAGTGAACCAATGAAGGTTTTACTAGTCCTGAGTTTGATAAAAGCAACTATTAAAACAATTGTGAATTTTACCAGAATCAATGATTACCTCACTTTAATAATATCCAATGAAAATTAGAAAAACTACATTCTTCTAGGACTGGCAGTTACCTTTAACAGGGCACCTTCCCGTATGTATTCCTGCATCAGAGGGAACTGTCCAAAACTACTCTCAGGAGACTCTACAGCTTCCCTTGGGTGACTTACTTAGTATTCAACACCATTTCTGATACGGTTTTCTCCCCATAAATGTAAATACCTGGTTCTGTAGTTTATGACATTAGTATTCAATGAGGACATAAAAAAAAAAAATCACAGCTTACCATTTTTGTCTAATGAAGCCTCACTTACATTAATTTTCTCTCATACCCTAGCACCTGGCACAGAGCCTCTGTCACAAAATACAGATGAATAAATCAATATTATAATGAAGTCCCTTTTAAGCTTGTTCTTCTGCAAGGCAAAGAATCCCTGTTTCTTGAGTCTTTTATTGTGGAGATGTTTCCTCTTAGTCATTCATAGTCTTCGTGGCTTTTCTTTAATTTCTTAATGTGTCTTAAAAGGACAAGGCCAGAATGGGGCACAACATTCTGCTGAGTCTGTGACCAGTCAGGAACATACTAAAGGAAGGGTTTCATGGTGTCAATGTTACATAAACATTCAGTCATTCCAAGACCACACTGTAAATTTCCACATGTAGAATAATGTTGAAACACTTACCTCAAGAACCAACCACAGCTTGTCTCCATTTATTTTATCCTTCTTAAAGTACATCCCGTAGAATCTGACGACATTGGGGTGGTCGGAAAGCGTCTTTAAGATGCTATACTCTGCTTCAATCTCTTCATCGATATCCTGGTTTCAAAAAGTCATAGGAAGAAAACCATGAGAAAAACATGAATTATGTCAAAGAGACATATTAGAGATCACCAAATAGAGAATTTAATTTTGTCAAAGCAAGGTTATAATAATGGCTTTTAATGTGCTCAGTAGTACGTATTGAAACTTCTCAGGCCATTATGTAAGGGGAGAGATTGTAATTTTCCCACTAATCAAATACATCTCTAATTACGTTAATTTCATTGAGTTAAAAAGGGACAAATAAAAGACTATTTTTGTATGCACTTAGAAAGAAACATACATGAAGAAGGATTCCAGAGGATATTCCTTTCTTTGTAGTGTTAACTTTGTTTCAGTGGCAAAGCCATTGATTTGAAATAAAAACTTTTAGCTGGCTCATTTTGTTCCTTTGAAATACAGGATATGTAGAAGCTTTCAAAAGCTAGTCATACAAGCAATAAATTCTTATCTTTCCAAAAAAGTAAAATAAAGTTATACATAAGATGGTATACAGCCTTAGTTAGCTAAAGGCTCATTCACCAGAAGTAGAACAGGTTGCTACATCTGCCAACAAAAACGCCAACAAACTACTTAAGTCATGTTTTTAGAAACCACAATACATGAAACAACTCAGAGTAATAATAAGACAAAGCCTTCGAATACTGTTTTTACGGTAACATTTAGTGTCCACGTTGTTTTATGACAAAATCACGTAATCACAGAGCCAGAAAGAATTCTAGACCAGAGATCCAATTTGAGAAAAAGAAGCTAAAGCTCAGAGAGGTTGGTCACAGAGCTGGTTAGTGTAAGATGCAGGACTAGTCTACAAGTCCACTGCCTCCTCCCTTCTAATCCCATTCATTTTATCCCTTTCTCAGATAGAAACATACTATATCAAAATTCATAATAGTAAGACTCTTTTAATAAAAAAAAGCCACTCTGTAAAATGCTTGGGATGCATTTAAATTTATTTTATTAAGATTATAATCTCTTGGTTATAAATCTTTTTTATTTGGCTTGTGACATGATGAATGAAGGGGAAATAAATAACTCTGAGAAAAATATACATGTACTGACAAGAATAAAGGCAGCAAAAGAACCAATTTCACACCATAGTTATGAAACCGATATATTTCATTAAAGCAATAGAACAAAACATGATTTTTAAGGTTCATAGGATACGAAACAGGAGTAAATTATAAACGAATAATGGCTATATGTATCCATAATCCATTTGTCCTTCTCCATTAAGAAGTAGAGGAATGGGAGAGACACGCTGGTTATGGGGCCAGACATGGGATCCAGCTGGAGCCCTTTCTCTTGCCACCACGAACCCCAACCCATACTTGCAAAGACCAGAGGAGAGAGGTACAGTCACTTTGGTACAGCTTAATTTGTGTCTCTCTGCCTTCAGTTTAAATGGTAAGAACTGGGGTGCCTGGGTGGCTCAACTGGCTAAGCATCTGCCTTCAGCTCAGGTCATAATCTCAGGGTCCTGGGATGGAGCCCCATGTCGGGCTCCCTGCTAGTGGGGTGTCTACTTCTCCCTCTGCCCCGCCCCCCACCCTCAATCCCCATTCGTGCTCGCTCTCTCTCTCTCAAATAAACAATTAAAATCTTTTTCAAAAACGGTAAGAACTTTCCATTAGGGGATAATCCCAATAGGGGATCATGAAAACAGTCAGCATCAGTTAAGCCTGCACATAGTTGTCTCTCTCTCTCTTTTTTCCTTCCAATGTATCTAATATATTGCTTGAAAATAAACCCCCACTCTCCCTCTCCTCTGCTCAAAATAATATGAAATGCTGTAGTTAATAATGGGTTTAGTAGAAATAAACAATCAAAAAAGAAAGCATAAGAAAAAGAAATCCTAAGATGCACAAACGGAGACCGGGAGACCTTTTGCAGAGTCCTACAGTTTGTTAATGTAAGAGCTATGACAAGGACCAGGAGTCCCACGTCCTTCCCAAACACAACACGACATCTCTGTCATGTCCCATCCCATTATGTGTGCAAGAGCCAAGTAACTGGAGAAACTGCTCTCAATAGAACTTTGGGGATTATGTGATCACTGAGCTCATTCTGGTTCACCCACGTGCTGTGGGAGAGCTACACATATTTCCCAAGAGCTGAAAATGTTCCAAAACAGCCAGTTCTCATTCCCAGAAAAAAAAATGGGGGGAGGGAGGAACCTCTTCAACTTCTTTATGCTCTTCAAGGCCAAAAAAAAAAAAAAAAAAAAAAGCCTAGAAGGTTCCCTTATCACAACTGCTATTCCAAAAAAAGCAAAAGAGGATCCCCACTAGGGCATCAGTTGAAGAGGCCATAAGGACTACACATGCAATTTCAATTCTTCACAAGGAAACTCACCCTGATTATAAGTGAATACCATTTCTGCTTTGGAAACATTTCAGCAAACCTGAAAATTAATTTCCCATCTCTGAAAGAAATATAATTTAACATAAAATATTTCTGGGTTAGCTTAAAAGACATTCTTCCTGAAGCCTAAATAAATGCAGGAAGAAAAAGAGATCTGGCCAAGATGACATTTGAGAATTATTTCTAGACCCCTGAGTCTGTGTTCTTACAATTTTTTGAAATTTAAAATAACATAAAATCAACTGTTGAGCTATTAAGAGCTGTATTTATTTATTTACTTATTTGTATTATGTATTTGTTCAATTATTAAATATTTATTGGTCCCTATTGTATATGTTAAGTATGTAAACAACAAAAACCTAACAAATAGACTTTTTTTTTACATTTTCAATTGACACTGTGACAAATAAATCAAGTTAGCTACAGACTTTTTAACTGTTTAGTACAAATAAAAACAAAGTTAATTAGCAGAAAAGAGGAAAAACAATGTGACATACATGAATTGGGTCCAGAATTTTCACTGCTGCTTTTTGGCCATTTTTCTTATTCAATACTTTAAAAACTTTCCCGTAAGTTCCTTTGCCAATCGTTTCGGTGATTTCCCACGTATCAGAAGGATCAGGAAAGTTATCAAAGATGATTGTTTTTCCAGTTAATGGAAGCATCTCACAAGTTTCAATCACTGGAGAGAAAAAGTACAGTTTCAGCTACATTTGATTGGGGATATTAAATGGCACGAACAAACTCATGGGAAATTATCTAACATTTCACTGATACGATGGAAAATATACAGCAGTAACCAAATGTACTCAGAATTATAGAAAATTTTAATTTCAATTCTTTTTGCAAAGAGATTAATATGAGTTCAATAATGCTTTGTAAACAGGGCTTTATTTCTATGTTTAATATAGTCCCATATTAATTGCTCTTCATTCTTTTCATATTAAAATAAGAGGCACATATTTAAATCACTTTGATATATTGTTTTATACTCAGATATTAATACAATGCATCAAAAAAATTTAAATTAACCTTAAAGATGATAAAACTCAATGTTGTCAAGGCAAATCCCACATTTTGAAGTGACTGTGTCTTATTATCACTCCTCTATATAAAACCCAATAATGGATCTCCTCATATTGCTTTTAGGATGAAATTTAACACAACCTACCAGGTCCTTTAAAGTATGGCCCTTGCTTAATGTCCTCACCTCATGTCTCAACTTTTCTTCTCTCAGACATTACAAACCAGTCACTCGGGACCCTTTAAAGTCATTTCTTTCTTGCTTAAGGGTCTTAGTAGACATGAATCCCTCCCACTTTCTGCCTGTGGTTTCTTTCTTTCTTTCTATCTATCTATCTATTTATTTATTTATTTATTATGTTATGTTAATCACCATACATTACATCATTAGTTTTTGATGTAGTGTTCCATGATTCATTGTTTGCATATTAACACCCAGTGCTCCATTCAATACGTGCCCTCTTTAATACCCATCACCAGGCTAACCCCTCCTCCCCTTCCCCTCTAGAACCCTCAGTTTGTTTCTCAGAGTCCATAGTCTCTCATGGTTCGTTTCCCCCTCCAATTTGCACCTTCATTTTTCCCTTCCTACTATCTTCTCTTTTTTTAACATATAATGTATTATTTGTTTCAGAGGTACAGTGGTTTCTTTATTGAATTCCAACACCTTCTTCTCTTTCAGATCTTAGCTTAGATGTCATTTCCTCTGAATGTGACCACTCTCCATCCCATTTGGCTTGCAAGCCCCACCCCTGTACTTGCAGAGCACTCTACCCACGCTTATCGGATCTTACGACATGCCCAACACCTGGCACAGTGCTGAAACAATTAGGAGAGTACAGCCAATGAGGTCAGGTGACTTTTAAAAGGAGATGTTATATGTAACCTGAAATAAGATCCCAGGTTTCCTGACTGCCCAGTAGTGTTTTTAACCTTCTATATTCTTCCTATATACATTCAACCATTTGTATAAAACCACACAAAAGTAACAGAAAGAGCTCCCAGAACTTCTGGTGGCCCTTACATTTTTTCAATTATCTGTGCAAACCTCACAATCTTCAATGTTAAAAAGTTACGTGCAGTTGTGCTTGTGTGTGTATGCATACACACAGAAACACATCTATTAATAAATAAGTATTAATGCTATACAATAATGTTAGCCCATGAAATTCATTGGTCTAACCACAATTTTCAATCTTAGCCACACCACCAATCCACTGAGTCCTCACTTTCTTTATAGCCATCAACCCTGTTCAGTCTTCATTCCTTCTTCACTTGCTTCTTCCCCAGCATAAATTCTACAGCTTGAATCATTATGACTTCCTTGCAAATACCCTCAACACTCTTGTTCCTCTTTCTCCACCATCAGTCTCCCAGAATGAAAAAACCAAGTCTGGTTAAAGACCCTACATGTCTTCACACCTGTGCCTGTAGCTAGAGAAAAACCACACAACCATATTGACTGGTTTCTCTTCACATTCAGAATAACAAACCTACAAGTAGACCTTCGACACTGCCTAGAAGTCCTACTGTGCTTCCCTGGTTTGTCTATTCCTTTCTCATTATTTCACAGTGATCCTTCTCCTCACATTTTTCTTGTCCTCAAATTGTTCTTCTTTGTTCTCTAGCCCCTCCTACAAAATTTCCCAACTGATGCCCTTACTTAATAATTAATTGAAAACATAAAAGCAACAATAAATGCCTTAAAACTACAAACTTCTCATCCTGAAAACTACAAACGAATGAGCATCAAATGTGAGGTCTTTCTCATTACCTATCATCGGTTTTTGCTGTTTGGCCTCAATTAGTCTGTTTCTTCAGTTGCTTCTCAGCCTTCAGATCTTGGCTCAAACATCACTTTCTTAGAAGGGCCTTTCTTGACCAACCTACATAAAGTTAGCTTTTCCCACACATTTTATTTCTCCTTTAGAACGTAAGCTACAAAAGAGTATAGACTTTATTTTTACTACTGTATCTGCAATTCCCAGAACAATGCCTAGTACATGGTAGGCAATTAGTAAATCTGGCAAAATGGGCAAATGTTTACCTGTTAATTCTGACAACACAGACCTTAGCTATCTTGTTCACACCCAAATCTAATAATGCCTAACTCTGTGCCTGGCTTATAGTAGATGTTAAATATACAGCTGATGAATAAATTAATCAGTATGATTCTTCAAAAGAAGTTTTTAAATGAGGGAGAAAAATAAGGATTAGGGAGAGCTGAAAAGAATCTGAAAATCTAAACAAAATAAGGAACATGTTCTGATTCATTATACTGAAGGGCACATCATCTCATAAATGGCTATGAATGCCTGCTAAAAATTACATCACTACACAAAACACACTTATGAATGGTTCTTAGAACACTTAATCTTTATGAAATTTGTGCCTATGATCCAAAATGCAATGGAATAAGTAGGAGGTAATCAGTAATAATCATCTACTTTAGTGATTTCACAATCAGTGACAAGATAACTACTTCTTACATCTATGTACTTGAGTTATGCAAATAAGCATTTATGCCATCCACATAATGTAAAAGTTAGACCAAAAGACCAAATTAAATCTTGTTAAATGCCTGAAATAAGCGTTTTTAACCACAAGAAACATTCATTATATGCAATACTGCTTTTCAAGTGGTAATGTTGTTGAACACAATTTTAATTTCTTCTACATTAATTATTAGGAACTATTGGTATTTAAATATACAGGCATAAGAATGACTGAACACCTAATGTGTGCAGAGTATTTTAGACTCTTGGGGATACAAAGATAGGCAACTCATGGATAGATATATGTAAGTAATATTATGAAAAGTGACAGATAATAGAAACAAGCATAAAGTGCTATAGTAGCTCAGATGAAGAAGCAATTAATTCTGAAGTGATCATGAAAAGATACAGAAAATAAGCAGTATTGGAGCTGGACATTAAACACGAAAAGAAGTTTGTCCAAAACATAATTTCCTCTTTAACAATTCTCAGTAAAACAAATATTTAAAGCAGTGCATTGTTATATCATAAAACACAAAACAATAATCACAGAATAACAAAAGCACAGGTGTTTTGGAAACAGAATATACTTAGTGCAATCTCATTCAAAACAAACAAAACTCCCAACAAGTAGGTAAGATGAGGTCTAAAATGATTTCCTCAAAATTAAGCATTAAAGAATTCAAAACCTTAGAAGTCTTCTTAACCTTAAGCTATACTTTTTCCAGTACTGATAGATTATTATTTAAGAATAAAATAAAGTGTCAGTTAGTAAACAACTAATTATTTAATGATTACAGTAGGTTGTATGGCATGAATGCTCATTTTTTTTTCTAGTCCTTTAGCACTCACAGAATAAAAAATAATTCTCTAGCTCATAAAATGAAAACTAACTTCTTAATTATATGATCATTTATGCTAAATAACTTTTTGGCATATATACTTACTATATTTTAACATGTGTATTTACCATAATTCCAAAAAGGTACTTCCATTTTAAAAGCTACATTTTAAAAATGAAGAATCATCTTTTTGAATTGATATATTATATATTGAGCTGCTGAGGGTTTTTTGTTTTTTTTTTCATGATAGAAAAAAGACCATATTACAATGAAAAAAGTATCTTACTTCAGGATCTTATCATTCATCTCAACACTTATTTGACTGCTTTTGTAAACCTCCCCTTCATTCTTCTTTACTAAAATAACCAAACTGCCTTCATGCTCATTCTAAAACACAGCAGGGCTGATCTCCTGATGGGCTGTGTCTTCCCTCTGCCTGGAATGCTCTTTCTCCAGATATCCATATTGGTCTACTCCCTCACTTCCTTTAATTCTTGCATCAGCCATCACCTCCTCAATAAGTCCTATCCTAGCCATCCTGTTTAAAATGCCACCCTGCCCTCCTCCACTCTATCCTACCTCCAACCTCCTGGTCCCCCTTTCCCTGCTCTATTTTCATAACACTCTTTACCTCCTTTCATGCTACATCACTTCCTGTTTATTATGTTTTACTTATTGTGTTTCTGTACTACTAGAATGTAAGCCCATGAGCATTGAAATTTTAGGTTGTTCACGGATATATCCCAAAGACTCTAAAACCATGACTAGCACAGAGGAAGTACTCAACAAGGATTTGTTGAATACTGGATAGAAATGAATAGAACACAGTAGCTAGAAAAATTTCAGGTGATTTTACCAATGAATTCAATAAAATATTTAAGAAAGAAAGAAAGAATGTCATCTTTTGCAATCTTTTTTCAGAGACTAGAGACAGAGGGAACACTTGAAAGTACCTACACAGAGACAGAAATTATTAAAAAAAAAGAGCCAAACGGAAATTCTGGATATGAAAATTAAAATAATTGAATTGAAAAATTCCCTAGAGGGGTTTAATAACAGAGTTGAATGGGCAGAAGAAAACCAGCAAACTTAAAGCCAAGTCATTTGAAATTATCAAGTCTGAGGAACAAAAAGAAAAAGGAATGTATAAAAATGAACAGAGCCTAAGGGACTTATGAGATACCATCAAGAGAACCAATATAAGCATTATGAGTACTAGAGGAAGAAAAAGAAAGAGAATGAGGAGGGGAGATTATTTGAAGAAATAATGGCTGAAAACATCATAAATTTAAGGAAAAGACTGGG